CTTTGCTCAATGAAAAAATAAATAAATAAAAACTGTTGTTTATGTGTTCGTAAAGGCAAAAAAATGTGTTTAAAATATCTAAAAAGGAGGTTTCATCAGGTGACATTTTATACGAGGAATATTTTTTCGTATAAAATGTCACCATCCCTTTGCTCAATAAAAAAAATAAACAAATAAAAACTGCTGTTTATGCGTAAACACATCAAATATAGATTTAAAATATCCAGAATGGGTGGTTTCATCAGGTGACATTTTATACGATGAATTATTTTTCGTATAAAATGTCACCATCCCTTTGCTCAATAAAAAATAAATAATTAAAAACTGCTGTTAATGTATATGTAAGCCCATCAACGATAGATTGGAAATGTGTGAACCAGACAAACTTTGAGGCCGAAATATTAGCATTTTCACAAAGTGCATGGACATTTTTTCGCTTTTGCACAGTGCATTATTTTTGCACCGTGCAAATCTGAGAAAAGCCGCGTTTGCACTGTGAAAATGTTTGAGCAAATCCGCGGCGACGCAGTTCGAAAAGCTTACATTTTATACGATGAAGTATAATATTTTTTCGTATAAAATGGCTCCATAAAAAACAAATAAATAAAAACTGATGTTTATGTATTCGTAAAAACAAAAAAATGTGTTTAAAATATCCAGAATGGGTGGTTTCTTCAGGCGACATTTTATACGATGAATTATTTTTTCGTATAAAATGTCACCATTCCTTTGCTCAATAAAAAAATAAATAAATGAAAACTGCTGTTTATGTATTCGTAACCAGATCAACGATAGATTGGAAATGTGTGTGCTCCATTGGTCTATGGGAGCGGTATACAGTGCTGAAATTTTTTTGTCATCTCTCCGGCACCTGTTGTTTAACACTTACGATAAAACAAAATTCGTAACTTGGGCAATCTTCATTAGTCAAGCACCAACCTCCAGCTGAAAGTGAAAATAAAAGTATAATATTAAAAACGCTTTTTCTGACAGGGGAAGAACTTGAGTGCGACGCTCAGAATTTGATAAAACTTGGCACAGCTTCAGAATAATCTTTTCGAAGACATATGCAAGGCTTCTAACTCGCACTTTGCAGAAACAACCGAGACCTTTTTAGTCGAAAGCTATAAAAAAATGTCAAACCATTTCGCGAATTTTGGCACCAAAAGTTTTATGCTGATTTCTACCGTATAGGGTAGTGTTTTCACAAAAAATCAATTTTTTTCATGCGAAGTTGGCCAAGATATTGCCAAAAAGTGTTTTTTTTCCTCTGACCGCTCTCCACGTTTAGTGTACTCTCTCGACGGCAAAGATTGTTCAATATCTCGACGGCGTCTGCAAAGCGCGGGCTAAAATTTACAGCAATTGATGTCTGGCCTATACCCTAACTGTGCGCGAAATAAAAAGAAAATCCGAGTGTCGCACGGGACGTACTTCCCATTTTGAACGACTTACCTTCAACCGCACTAATCATGACGAGCAATGCAACAAACAGCAACAAGAGACGCATATTCGACAGTTGAGAGAACATGCTTTTGAAAACGACTGATTTAAAATCATCACAATGGAGAAATCGGCGGAATTATTTTTTCGTATAAAATGTCACCTTGCTCAATGAAAATAAAGCAAAATAAAAGCCGATGTTTATGTATGCGGAACCACATCAAAGAGAGATTTTAAAAAATCATCAGGTGACATTTTATACGACAAATTATTTTTTTCGTATAAAATGTCACCTTGCTCAGTGAAAAAAAACAAAATAAAAGCTGATGTTTATGTATGCGGAAACACATCAAAGAGAGATTTTAAAAAATCATCAGGTGACATTTTATACGAAAAATTATTTTTTCGTATAAAATGTCACCTTGCTCAATGAAAAAAAACAAAATAAAAGCTGATGTTTATGTATGCGTAAACACATCAAATACAGATCGGAAATGTGTGTGTTCCAAAGGGTCCGGCAATTTTTTTCAAATTGATTCGTCAAATTGAGTCATTGGTATCGTTACACAGTTCTGAAAATTTTTTTGTCATCTCTCCGCCACCTATTTTTTGACACTTACGAAGAGAATACATATTTCGTCGTCTTCGCAATTTTAATTAGTTAAGCACCATCCAGCTGAAAGTGAAAATAAAAAAATAAAAACGCTTTTACTGACAGGAGAAATACTGTAAGTGCGACGCACGTCAAACTGAGGAGTCCGGTGACCGGAATAGACCCTTGGTTTTCTACATTTCGTCTATTTCGCAGAGAAAGAGAGAAGAAAGATACGCAAAAACGTACTCCCTCGCCCCAAAAATTCCCCATTACTTCCCCGACAAAACGTTTTTTCGCGTCTTTTTTTGGCAAATTGCGAATCCATTCACCGGAAGTTTTATGCTGATTTCTAGCGTATAGGGTAATTTTCCAAAAAAAAAAACAATTTTTTTCTTGCGAAACTGGCCAAGATATTGCCAAAAAAAAGTGTTTTTTTTCTCTTACCGCTCTCTACGTTTAGTGTACTCTCTCTCCGCAAACACTGTTCAATATCTCACCAGCCTCTGCAACGCGCAAGCCAAAACTTTCAGTAATTGACATGTAGTCTACACTCTACATGTATGCAAAATTAAACGAAAATCCGAGCGTCGCACTTGTGGTACTTCCCATTTTGAATGACTCACCTTCAACTGCACTAATCAAAACAATTAATGCAACAAACAGCAAGAAGAAACACATGTTCGTCATTTTTGGAGACAGTGCATTTGTAAATGAGAAATTTATTATATATATAGGCCCATATCAAACATCTGAATGACATAAATTTTATGCCTTTTTGCACAATAAATGAAAATTTTTCAATATCAACGGCATAAATTAGGCATAATACTTTTTTTTTTTTGATTACTAATGGAAACTTGTTTAAAATTCAATTTGGTTTTTATGGATGTCAAGATTCAAAAACTGAACAAAATACTGGTCCCAATTGCTTTTTTTTGATCACATTTTTTACAACTTTAATTTAAATTTTTACGACTGACGAGACCGGGAAACGACTAATTTTTTTAAATTTAAATTCCATCGCAAGAGAGTTACACATGGCTAGGAGGCCGGACTTATATCTCTTCGCACAACGGCGTCAAAAATGCTTGCAAACAAAGTATTAAGCTTGGAAGAAATTAGGATTTTTTTTTTTTTTGATCACCGATTAACATTTTCTTTAGAATTTTTATTTGAATTTTTATGGATCACAAGGTTGCAGAACGCGAGCAAAAATTTTCATAAATTGATATGTGGCCTATGTGTGAAAAATAAGGAGAATCTGAGAGTTGAACTTGACGGGTTACTTGTGCTCAGAAGCTCAGCAAAAAGATCAGAAAATAAATTTTAAAAAATCCCATTTTTTATTGTTAACCTTATAATAAAATAAACATTACTACAATTATTACAATATCGGTGGACTAGGCGTTTGTTCCTTTATCTAAGTCCATTTGACGCAAGGGAGATGGCGAGGATAGCAGGTGAACCAAGGATAGCAGCATCTGTAGTCGCTTGGATAATCGCTGCAATCCGAGTCCTTGAAGCATAATTGAGCTGAAAACGTGAATGTAAAACAAGAATGGGGATAAATATTAACAGGAGAAGTTGGGCTCAGATATTACTAGCCCAAGTGCGACGCTCAGATTTTCTTTAAATTTTCCACACACGTCGGGTATAGACTAAATATCAATTCTTGAAAGTTTTAGCTCGCGCTTTGCGAGCGCCGCCGAGATATCGAACGATAAACCGCTTTTTGGCCATAACTTTGTTAGTTCCGTGTGGAAAAAGTTCATTTTTTGTGGAAACATTACTCTTTACGATAGAAATAGGTATGAAAATTTTCGTGTCGAAATTCGGCAAAAAGTCCTAAATTTTGGCCGACTTTCGATCTAAAAATCTCGGTTGTTTCTGCAAAACGCGAGCTAGGATTCTCGCATATATCTTTTAAAAAATTATTCTCAATTTGTGCCAAGTTTCATCAAAATCTGAGCGTCGCACTTGGGGTACTTTCTCCTGGTAGCGCAGCGAGTCTAGCCAACTTTTAATCGTATAAAATGTCCTCTGCAGGTCGAACCCTTTCCTTTTTTTTAAGGCTAGGACCAGAGATTGCCACGGTCAAAATTTCGGCTCCGGCTCCGGCTCTTAGCTCCCAGAGCCGGGGCCGAGGCCAAATTTGCAGCTCCGGCTCGTTTTTGCAGACAAGTCGTACGCAACGCATCCTCCGCAGTATTTTTTGAGCAATTTGGTTTAACAAGAGCACAAAATTTTTACTTTTCTGAACGCTGAGAAGCCTGGCTCCGACTTTGGGCTCGGGAGCCGGAGCCGCACCCAAAATTTCCGGCTCCGGCTCTGACTCCTGGCTCGGAGCCGGAGCCGCTCAGAGCCGGAGCCGGCTCCGGAGCCGTGGCAATCTCTGGCTAGGATCAATCTGCAGAAGTTTTATCAACGTAACCACAGCATCAACTCACCGTGAACTTCGCTGATCGAGAGCGCAACAAGAAGAACGAGGACAAGAAAACGCATCGCAAAAAATTCTTTCGACTGAATGATTGCAATTTCCGATCCGAAAAACTGGCCAGACAAAATGACCTAATTTGCATGTGTAAAATCACAATTGTCAGAAATGAAAAATTGTTCTTTTTTAAAAAAAAAGATTTTTTTAAACTGTTAAAAAGTATATGATTTGGGAGACGTGCAAATCTTCAAGAGTCTGGGCATATGGCGAAAAATTGGAGGCAATTTGGAATCTTTTGATAGATGAACGAGCGGGAAAAGAAATCCATTGCAACGAGAGGCTGAATCGATCAAAAATATTTTGGGAAGCTCAAAATTTTCATTTATTTTATAATTTCAAAAAAAATACCATAAAAAAATACACCAATTTTAAAAAATCAAAAATATTTCCATTAATTTTTTCCCCCAAAAATCAATATAAGCCCTTTATAACACTTTTATTACACCTACAGTATACCACAACAAAAATTCAGATCATAAAAGCTTGATTCAACATAGGCTCGGCCAAGTGGAGGGTTCCGAAATGAAGAATGATCCCGAAAAAGACCGAGACCGGCAAAGCTGGAGTGGCCTCGTCGCCATCGGTGAGTAGAGTCAACGTGATCGTGAGGCCAATTATTATTCCGATCATTGGTGCGATTGTGGCCAAAACACTTCCGGATGAAGCGGCTTGGCCCACGAGAAGGCTGTAGAAGACAAAGTCGCCCATTCCGAGGCGGGCAGAGGCTGGAAATTTGGGGATTAATATTTGCATATTTAAGTTTTTGGATATGAAAATTTGCATATACAAATTTTTTGATGTGAAAATATGCATAATCAAAATTTCGAAGTTCAAATTTTTGCAACCAAATTTCGGAAAAAAAATTGCATATTCAAATTTTTAATATGAAAATTTACATATGCAAATTTTTAGATATGAAAATTTGAGATTTTTAAATATAAAAATTGCAAATTAAAATCTCCAACCTGAAATTTTAAAATACCAAAAATTTGAATATTAAAATTCCAAAATTTTGAAATTTGAATATTCAAATTTTCAAAGTTAGATATTATAAAACAACCATTTATGGCCTCAAAAAAATTTTTAGTCATCATACCAAAACTTACAGTCATTCAGCGCATCAAATGCCGTCTTCTTCCCCGTTTTCGGCTTAACTTCCTCGGATTCACCTTCAGAATTCTCTTCACTTTCAGAACCCATACTCTCATCACTATCAGCCCCAGCAGTTTGCCTCTCATTCACTGCTGGTTCAACTTCTCCCGTGGAAAACATCAAAAACCGGAGGACATCTTCCCCATAATCATGAGCAAATCCGGTGATCTGTTTGAGTGGGCCAAGCGGAGTGAGGACAGCAAAAATATCTAAAACACACTTAATTTGACTTGAAAACCCTCCAGGAAGAAATTTCAATCATAAAAAGTAGCCATAAAAAATTTGACGAAATGTCACAAAATTATTGATTTTTCAAATTTTGACATTTCGTTTAAGCCAAACCTACCCCAAATGATAATACTGCTGAGTAGGAACCATGCTGTGGGGCCAGGGAGTACACGGAGGTAGAACATCGAGACCAGCGAGCAATTACAGATGACGTAAAATTGATGACAAGCGATGGGCAATTTGGTGGTAAAAAATGCCTAAAACATGGTGAAATAGACAAAATAAAAAATTCTAGACAACGACAGAGAGTATTTTTAAGTCATCATGATCGAAATTTAAAAAAAAATTCAGATTTTAAAAAATCAATAATTTTTGTGACATTTCGTCAAAAATATTAAAAGTCGTCAAATCTGCAAACAAAAGGTCTCAAAATATCGGAAAGTGTTTCAATAAAAAATCAACGGGGCTAAGGTAGTACAGCCCCCCAGTCCAGTTTAGCCCCCCATGACCCAGTACAAACCCCCTCGTCCATTCTGAACCCCAAAATTTATTTCAAAGAATTAATCCAAGTTGTATGGTCCAGCACAAGCCCCCTACGTTTTAGATCAAGCCCCCTCCGTTTTAGATAAAGCCCCCTACGTTTTAGATCAAACCCCCAACGTAGTAGATCAAACCCCCACTTACATTTTTTGTATTATTCTAATTTGTTCATTATGTGGGGTGTGAAACGGGCAAAACAGTGGGGGTTTGAACTACCTTTCGTGGGGGGCTCAACTACCGAAGCCCCAAATCAACTTACAAAATAACCGCCAGTCCCGTAAATAACAGTAATTACTGCTGCCAAAAAATAGGGATACTGTATTCCAGATTTTTCAATAGTAGAGCTGAAGAAAATTAAAATTAAAAAAAGCAATTCCCTTACTAAATAAAGCTGAACGAAACCCCAAACGTGATCATCAAACAAGAAGCAGTGAGCCAGAATTGAATGAACTTCTTCATCCGAAACACGGCCAACAAGACCATGATGAAGCTGAGAACGGCCACTGAAGCCAAGCACAACATTCCATTCAGCTGAAAGTGGAAGTAAAATCAGTAAAACAAGTCATTTTGCGCAATAAAAATACTTTTCAGCTGAAATAAGGGATTTGGGCAGAATGCCAATTTCGCGGTGAGACCCAGATAGGAAAAGGAAAATGGCGAAAAAACGTATCCAAAATAATTCTACTTGCTTGGTTATTATTTTCAGCAGCCTATGAGAGATTTACAAAATTTCAAGTTTTCGCTGTGGGACTCATCTGATCCCACTACGAAAACTTCAAAAGTCGGATTTTAGTGGCAAAATTGCAAATATAAGGCGTTTTGGCGGACTACTATCAGTTTGGACCCGTACAGATTTCCAAATCATTTCGCTATCCCGCAAAAAAAGTCTCGCCACGAAAATTGGCATTCCGCATCAACCCTTCAAACACCTCAAAAACCTCCCCAAATCCAACCTACCACTCCATCATACAGCACAGAGCCACTATTTTGAAAAAGCGCCGTCATTTCGGTCTGATCCGACCTCATCTCGTAGATGATGCACCAACCGAACAAGGTCAACAACATGTTCATGATGACGGGCCAAATCAAGTCCACCACTTGTTTCAGTTGATCATTCCAATGGGCCACAAACGTCTCCCAGGCGCACTGACATTCTTTGGCGACCATTTTTCGACCGGCTTTTTTGAAGAATGAAAAGGAACGAGGGATTTTTCGAGAAATTTTTGATTTTTTCATTTTAAAAAGTTCTTTTTGCAATTTTTTGACGAATTCAAAATGATGTAATTTTTTTATTGTTAATGGCTTGAAATTTCAGTAGATAATCAATAAATTAAAAATGTCGTTAAGACAAGCATGATTAATTCTAAATAATTTATGGTGCTGTGATGTTGTCAGACGACAATGCAATTCATTATCTTTAAATTCTGATGAGTCAATTAGGATCTGCGACAACAGTTGAGGTTTTTTAAAGACTGTAAGACTTGATAACTGCTTCTCGCTTCCAAAAATTTTTGCCTAAAAATGAATTGGCTCAGCGGCATTGTGCTCACTATTCTTCCGACAGACTGATACCAGCTCATAGCGCTCCAAAGAAGACGATGATTTTGTCATGCATGCAGCTGCTACTAGTCCGTTCGTAAAGTCGCTGGAATGATTTCGGCGACATGCACTGTGCAAGAAAACTCAGGGTGCGGGCGACAGCCCGAAAAAGCCTATTGCACTGTGCAAAAGGCCAAAAATTGCACAGTGCAAACTGAACTTTCGGTTTCGCGGAGTGCATGTCGCCGAAAACATTCCAGCGACTTTACGAACGGACTAGTATCATAGTGATTGCCTACTGTAAGATGCAAATCATCTCATTCGGCCCTTTTTGATTCCAATTAATTTGCCAATCCACATCTAAATTCATTTTCGGGGCAGTCTTAATTAAATTCCCGCAACCTCGTATTATAAATGGTTTAAATTTACAACAATCCGAATCACATACAAGACATGGCGGCCAATTTAACTGTGTTGTATTCCGTGCTCCTGAACTGTTCTTCATTGACTGCGTTCTTCCCTCCGGATTTTCGACCCAATGCGTTGGAGGTTCGGCATTACGAAAAAGAAGAACTAAGGGTTCGAGAGCACAGCTATACGTTGAGTTCGAATGGCTCGGCTGTGGAGTAGGTTTTGTTCGCCGTAAAGACGAATGTGTGCGTTGTGCGTTGCCGCGCGGCGCAGCGACATCGCGCTCACTATTTTCCCGGACTTTTGAAGATTTTTTCTCTCTTTTTAGAAATCAACTGTACGAGATCAACGGTGGCCAGTTCACTGGCAATGTCACATCGAATATCTGGACGTATCCGAACGGATCAATTTTTGTGACATGCTTCGGATGGACTAAATATCCCCATATTGAGTTGATGTCGCTTTTGCAGGCACATGACAACCTTCTTACGCCATTATGTAAGCACTGTGACCTTTCGTCCATTCTCTCGTTCTAGGTTCCTCTGGGCCAGCCTTCGAAGAAGCATATTATTTTGGCTCTTATATGTGGCTATACCGCACCAGCCGCGCGAATCCTGGAGTCGAGGTAGCGCGCACATGTGAGGATAAAGAGGATAATGTCGTCCTACCGAACGGATACAAAGACCTTACCTTCCGCTCGGACATTAACTACGTCTTTTTTGAAGATAATGGCAAATGCAGACAAGCCAAGAACACGGCGGAATCAGTCGTCAAAAATGAGACGACCGATGTTACTCTGAAATTTGAGGATTGCAGTGTGCTTCCATTTGAGGTTTATGAGAGAGAAGGCAAGCAGGAAACCGTCTACTTTTCGTTGGTAAGGCACTTATTGCTGCGAGGCCTCATTTTCGCGTCCCGACTATTCGGGCCGACGACAGTTCGGGTCAACAAAAAATCGATACGGCGTACGGCAGGTGAATACACCAAAAAAGGTTGTCGGAAGTGCCTACGAGGAATAAAAAAAACCGTTGGATGGTCGACGGGCTCTCGGCCAAGGCTCGGTGGAGACTTGTTTGGAGGTTTTTTACATGCCCTCACATCAATACTATCTACAGGGTCTTTCAAGAAACGTGAAGGAAAGTCGGAGGCTATAAACTCCGGTGGGGGTGGCGCAGAGACTTCGTCTTTGGAATATGTATTTTTAAGCGACATTAATTTTTGTCTATGAAATAACAATGTTTTAAAGTGCAAACTGAGGTTGCTACGACCTTCTGAAGTGGGGGCATTTCTACCCCGAAAACCAATGTTTTTCGATTGAAAATGATTGAGAAACTTCGAATTTTTTCGGTCGAAAATCACCAAGAAATGGCGGATTTTTTCCGGGGTTTCGATAGAGTTGACGTTGAAAAAAGGGAATGATCTTGTCAACACGTCAAAAATTAAAGAAAAATTCGGCTACCAATAAAATAGTGGGCAGATTGCAAGTCTTCGCCAAGTCTCCGGCGAGCCATCGCCAAGCGTCCGCCGACCATCCGGTTTTGCCAGGCCTCATAGGCACTTCCTACAACCTTTTTTGACGTATTCACCTACCCTGCGCCCCGTATCGATCGATTTTGTGCTGTTCCGAACTGTCGTCAACTCGAAAAGTCGGGATGCATTTCCTTCTCTGATCGTTCTCCGAAGTTTGTGCTCTATCTCTCCGAATGCCTCGACGTTCTTTCCAAATCTGAGCCTATTTCTTGTCATTGAGGACTTCTCAGCTACAAACAGTTTTTTCCAGAAACACCTCCTTCGTACTTCTCAATGTTCATTGGACAATCAAGAACTTGACCCAGACAATATTCACATCAAATTTGTCCACAATGGAGCTCCCTATACAACGACCACAACTACAGTTACGAGTGCAACATCTCCATCAAAACCGCAAACAACAGCCGCATCTACAGTGGCGGTCAAAAAAAACGGCCACCCCAAGATGATGCGCTCTAACGCAGAAGAGAGTGGTCGTGAAAAGATAAATATGGTATCATTGTAAAGCTGATGGAATACTAAGACGTGTGACTATACGCTTGTGGTACTGTAGTGCTGGCCTAGCACGTACTGGGGCAATATGTTCTTCTGGCCTGGTCAAAAAAAATGGCCACCCATAATTATTTTGCTTTAAACGCGGTGTATGTTAGAAATTGCCGCCATATGGAACTGGACTAGGATAGCTATATCAATACACACCAATTCCAGTATTTTTTACTTTTTACATATGCCCTCAGGCATCAGTCAAGGTTGATGACCTTGTTCATGGTTAAGGCCCGGCCAAAATTTTTTTCGGGTTTGTGCCGTTGTTTTGATAATCCGAAGCAATACTGTAGACGGTATTGATCGTATTCGTGTGTAAGACTGCCCACTTTTGCCAAAATTGCGCCTCTTTTGATAAGAAAACTCAAAAAATGGAATTTTTTGACCTAATTTTCTCCAAAAATCCGTTTTGGAGGCCGCTAAACAATGAATGTAGAATCTTAAACAGACTTTATTTCTACAAGAACATCATGGACATTTGTTTTAACACGGCACCGGTTAAAGGAAACGACCGTCCGAAACGACAGATACCGTTTTGTTACAGTTTTCGACTTCAGGAAATAGTCATAAACTTTGTCAAGGCCTGCAACCCGAATTTTCGCTTTAGGGGCTCATATTTATCTTTAAATGATTAAGTGGTATCTCAACTACGCCACAAATGCGATACTATATTCTAATTTCTATTCAACGAGGTTTCGGAACCGGACAAAATTCATGATTACTTCATGAAGTCGAAAACTGTAACAAAACGGTATCTGTCGTTTCGGGCGGTCGTTTCCTTTAATCGGTGCCGTGTTAAAACAAATGTTCAGGATGTTCTTGTACAAATAAAACCTGTTTAAGGTTCTACATTCATTGTTTAGCGGCCTCCAAAACGGATTTTTGGAGAAAATTAGGTCAAAAAATTCCATTTTTTGAGTTTTCTTCTCATAAGGGGCGCAATTTTGGCAAAAGTGGGCAGTCTTACACACGAATACGATCAATACCGTCTACAGTATTGCTTCGGATTATCAAAACAACGGCACAAACCCGAAAAAAATTTTGGCCGGGCCTTAACCATGAACAAGGTCATCAACCTTGACTGATGCCTGAGGGCATATGTAAAAAGTAAAAAATACTGGAATTGGTGTGTATTGATATAGCTATCCTAGTCCAGTTCCATATGGCGGCAATTTCTAACATACACCGCGTTTAAAGCAAAATAATTATGGGTGGCCATTTTTTTTGACCAGGCCAGAAGAACATATTGCCCCAGTACGTGCTAGGCCAGCACTATAGTACCACAAGCGTATAGTCACACGTCTTAGTATTCCATAAGCTTTACAATGATACCATATTTATCTTCCTACGACCACTCTCTTCTGCGTTAGAGCGCATCATCTTGGGGTGGCCGTTTTTTTTGACCGCCACTGTACAGTTACGAGTGAAACATCCCCAAAAAAGCCTCAACCAACTGTAGCCCCTCAGCCGGGCCCATGCAACTTTAACTTTATCTTCTGCGGATTCAAGGGAGCTTTCGCTTTCGTCTTGAATTTCTGCGGCTACTGAATTGCAAGAGATACGGAAATTTTTTGAATAAAACCAAGTGCTTTGCCAGGCCTTTGAGTTTGGACAGAAAATTTATGGGATTGATATGAAAGCAGTATTTACAAGGGAGTTTGAAATGCGACCGCTAAAAAATTTTTTTTTTTAATTTTGCACACACTTTGGTCAATTTCGACCAACTTCTTTAACCCTTTCCGGACGAGTCGGCACCTCCATGCAGAAATGAAAGAGGGTACCCTACTGAGTAACGGCATAATAGTGGTTCAGCCCATCGAAGCGTTATTTGGGACTTATGACAAAAAAATGTCCTAAAAAGTACCCCCAGTTGACATAACCCTTATAAAATTTTGCTAACGACCTGTAAATTAGAAACTACCCCTGAGTTAAGGTCTAACACTCCTACTACTGTTACATCCAAGAACTGTCCAAATCGGACCACTACGGGATTAGTTATCGACTTTTGGAAATTAAATTTTAAATTTCGACCAATTTTTTGCCCAAAATTGAGTATATCTTCCGCCGGAATCAACCATTTCAGTCTCAATGTGGTTTTTCTGAATCTAGAGTGACGCTAGCTTCTTCCCAGAGTGTTTCCAGAAAAAACCTACAGGGCACGTTTCTGTAAAAAGCGAAAAGGTTGAAAGCGTAAAGGTTTCACCGTATAAAATGTCGCCGCAAGCCGAGAAGGGTCGGGCGCAGCTCGAAAGGCGAAAATAATATATATTTTTTTGAGAAATACTATTTTAGTGTGAAACTAAAGCAAAATCCAATGAAATCGCCTGAAAACGCATTAAAAATATTAAAATGACATTGAGTTAATGTTTGCGTGCTCTGTCTGTCTGTATTTCATCTGAATTCAGCTTGTCGACACTAAAATAATATTTTTCGAAGAAAAAATATTATTTTCGCATTGCACGGTGCAAAAAGGAAGAAACTGCACAGTGCCAAGTGGACTTTCGGTTTCTCACAAAAATCAAATTGCCTTTCACTTCAGCGATGCGATTGGCTCAGCGACCCACTATTTTTCCGACAGAGTGATATAAGGCCACAGCGCTTAAAAGAAGACGATGATTTTGTGATACATGCAGCTGTTCGTGATTGCCTACTGTAAAATGCAAATCATCTCATTCGGCCCTTTTTGACCCCAATTAATTTGCCAATCCACATCTAAATTCATTTTCGGGGCAGTCTTAATTAAATTCCCGCAACCTCGTATTATAAATGGCTTAAATTTACAACAATCCGAATCACATACAAGTTATGGAGGCCAATTTAACAGTGTTGTATTCCGTGCTCCTGAACTGTTCTTCATTGATTGCGTTCTTCCCTCCGGATTTTCGACCGAATGCGTTGGAGGTTCGTCATTACAAAAAAGAAGAAGTAAGGGTTCGAGAGCACAGCTATATGTTGAGTTCGAATGGATCGGCTATGGAGTAGGTTTTGTTCGCCGTAAAGACGAATGTGTGCGATTGTGTCGCGGTAAAATAAAATAGCTTTTCAATTCAACGATGCGATCGGCGCACGGCAACCCAAAATATTTTGAACAAAAATGTCTCCCGCCCACTTCTGAATTTCGTCCAAACAAAGTGTCAAAATTCACAAAAGAAATAAGGCAATTCCGAGAAAAATATTTTTCTGTCGGAAAAACACATGAAAAATTCATTTTTGACATTTCGTTTAAATTCAACCGATACTAGGTGGACGAAGTGCCGAAAGGAGGTGGGAGACTCCCTGGGTTGCCGCGCGGCGCCGCGACATTGCGCTCACTATTTTCCCGGGCTTTTCAAGATTTTTTCTCTCTTTTTAGCGATGAACTGTACGAGATCCACGATGGCAACTTCACTGGCACTCTCAAATCGAATATCTGGACCTATCCGGACGGATCAATTGTCGTGACATGCTTCGGATGGTCTAAATTTCCCAATAATGAGTTTATGTCGCTTTTGCGGGCATATGACAACCTTCTTACGCCTTTGTGTAAGCACTGTAATCTTTCGGCCATTCTCTCGTTCCAGGTTCCTATGGGCCATGGTTGGCAGAAGCATATTATTTCGGCTCTTACATGTGGCTATACCGCACCAGCCGCGCGAATCCTGGGGTCGAGGTAACGCGCATATGTGAGGATAAAGAGGATAATGTCGTCCTACCGGACGGATACAAAGACCTTACCTTCCGCTCGGACATAAACTACGTCTTTTTTGAAGATAATGGCAAATGCAGACAAGCCAAGAACACGGCGGAATCAGTCGTCAAAAATGAGACGACCGATGTTACTCTGAAATTTGAGGATTGCAGTGTGCTTCCATTTGAGGTTTATGAGAGAGATGGCATGCAGGAAACCGTCTACTTTTCGTTGGTAAGGCACTTATTGCTGCCTCAACAGAGGGAGTGCTTTGCCCATTCTCGACCTAATTTTGATCGTTTCTGCTAGCAAGGGGAGTACACGTCCCGACTTTTCGGGTTGACGACAGTTCAGATCAGCGCAAAGTCGATCGATCAATATAGGGCGTAGGTCAGGTGAATCCACCAAAAAAGGTTGTAGGAAGTGCCTACGAGGCCTGGCAGAGCCGTTGGATAGTCGGCGGATGCTCGGCGAAGGCTTGGCGGAGACTTGCAATATGTCCACTTTTTCTAATTTTACCTATTAATGGATAGCCTAACACCTATTTGGAGGTATTTTACATGTACTCACATCAATAATATCTAGAAAAAGGTTACGGATCTTCTTTTTTTGCCGCAAATTTAGTCTTTTATACGTTATACTATTAGGTTTAGAAGTATGACTCCGCCGTTTTTTTCTGCTGATTGTTTTGATCATAGCAAAAAATTTTTACCTTAAACCTCATCCAATTTTATATTCTACTATTAATTACGAGGTGTTTCCGTAATTTGGTCAACTTTTCAATCCACCAAAAAAATTTTTTGGCTGTTTTGAAGCCATCCAAATATCAACCTAATTTTTGGCATCATTGTGTTTAGCGAAGCGCTGCTGCCTCAGGTCGTGTGTTATCGGTGGAAATAAGTGCTTATCTGAAAGCTCGTTGTCAGTAGAGTATAGCGGGTGAGGCAGGACCTCCCATCCTAGCTGTTCTGGGGTGTCCTTGACCAGTTTATCAACATGGGTTATAGCGTGATCATGCAGCAAAATAAAAATTGGTCATTCCGCCCGCTTTAGTCATAGCTCTCCGTTCAATTGCATCGGCCATTGTTGTCAACGGAGGCCAGTAACCGTTTTACCGAGTTTCAAGAGCTTACAGTGAAGAACAACTTGTTTATGTCATCATATACAGCGCAATGCTTTCTTACCGGTAATGTTAGACTATGCGGTCGCATGCGCTTCGGGTTCTCAAAGTCGCTGGGTTTTTTGTCTGTGGCCATAAAACGATGCAAAAATAGCTTTCTTTTGGTCTGCCTATCAAAATTTCGCAAGTTCTCTATATTGTTGTAGGTCATTCCATAAGACACCCAAGTCCGTTCTCTCTGGATCTTTTCAATTCGTTGCAAACTGAGTGAAACTCCTTACTGTGGCACTTTGAGCACCACGGCCAACTTTTTTTGTGTATGGGCATCGTTTTGTACCATCTTCAATTTTTTTAGATGGGTTTGAAAATCACAGGGCTAGAACCGTTAAACCCATTCCCCACGGATTTTTTCTCACTAAGCACAACTAACGTAAGCCTCTCTAAGCAATTGATGCATTAAAAACGTTTTCCCTCGCGTTACACGTGCAGGGTAAAATTTCCCGCAAATGACGATTTTCCAGAGACGAAGTTGGTCATCTTTGAAGCTTCATAAAAACCGCTATGTCAAGCCCTACTATACAAAGCATACATCAGTAGATAGCGTTTTGAAAGCTCTTTCAGAGGATCTCAAAAGAAATTTTTAAACCTTACTGCAACCTGTAAAAAAATGCAAAACAAAAAAAACGGCGGAGTCATACTTCTAGACCTAATAACTCAGGGTAAAGAAACCTAGCGTTAGAAATAGCCAAAGTTAGAAATAGTGGGCATATTGCAAGTCTTCGCCGAGCCTCCGCCGACCATCCAACGGCTTTGCCAGGCATCGTAGGCACTTCCTACAACCTTCTTTGGTGTATGCACCTGCCCTGCGCCCCGTATCGATCGATTTTGTGCTGATCGGAACTGTCGTCAACCCGAAAGTCGGGACGATCAGAGAGCATTTTCCTCTCTGTTCGTTTTCCGAACTTTGTGCTCTATCTCGCCGAATGCCTCGACGTTCTTTCCAAATCTGAGCCTATTTCTTGTCATTCAGAACTTCCCAGCTACAAACAGTTTTTTCCAGAAACACCTCCTTCGTACTACTCAATGTTCGTTGGACAACCAAGAACTTGACCCAGACAATATTCACATCAAATTTATCCACAATGGAGCTCCCCCTACAACGACCACAACTACAGTTACAAGTGCAACATCTCCATCAAAACCGCAAACAACAGCCGCATCTACAGTTACGAGTGAGACATCCCCAACAAAACCTCAACCAACTGTAGCCCCTCAGCCGGGCCCATGCAACTTTAACTTTATCTTCTGCGGATTCAAGGGAGCTTTCGCTTTTGTCTTGAATTTCTGCGGCTTCTGAATTGCAAGAGATACGGAAAATTTTTGAATAAAACCAAGTGCTTTGCCAGGCCTTTGAGTTTGGATAGAAAATTGATGTGATTTATATGAAAGGCATATTTTTTTATTTTGCGCACACTTCGGCCTAGGGTCGCACATCAACTCTTCAAAGTTTGAGCTCACAACTTCGGCTTTGGGGCCTTTATCCATTTTCAGATTGTTGTTGTCGCTCCGAGGTGTTTTCTTTTATGAATTCCATCGATTGCGACCGGGAATGCATTTGGCCTCAAACAAAATGGGGTTGTCTGAGGATTCAGAGAAAAAAAGAATTTTAAGATTTGGCCAAAAATTAAAGAAGTTATCGCCAATTCAAATCGGGCCACAAAGATGCCCCATCCTGTAAATTCTGACCGCATTATTTAACCCGAAAATATTCTTCATGATTTGTTCGGAAATGCCTACCGTTGCGGCAGAACTCTACCCCTTTTCTGAACTTTACCCCAATCTGAACTTTACCCCTTTTTCAACTCTACCCCAAAAAAGGCTGAACTCTACCCCTTTTTTTATTTTCGCCAAAAAATCTGAACTCTACCCCTTTTTGAACACTACCCCATTTTGAAAATTGAAAAAATAAGATGTGACATCTTATACGATGAAAATTTTTTTCAAATTGAGAAAAATCAGGTGTGACATCTTACACGATGAAAATTTTTTTCAAATTGAAAATAATATTATCAATAAGGTGTCACACCTTATTATTTTCAATTTAAAAAAATTTTTCATCGTATAAGGTGTCACACCTTATTATTTTCAATTTGAAAAAAATTTTCATCGTATAAGGTGTCACACCTTATTATTTTCAATTTGAAAAAATTTTTCATCGTATAAGATGTCACCACCTTATTATTTTCAATTTTCAAAATGAGGGGTAGTGTTAAAAAAGGGGTAAAGTTCATTCAAGGGGTAGAGTTGAAAAAGGGGTAAAGTTCTGGAGGGGTAAAGTTCAAAAAGGGGTAGAGTTGAAAAAGGGGTAAAGTTCAGAAAAGGGGTAGAGTTCAGGTTCAACCAATGTATAATACATTTAGTGAATGGGATCAATCTAGCGCTCGATCTTATCCTTTGCTTGTATTGGTCATATCGCTCGATGATCCGGTTGATCAAGTCGATCGTTGAGACACCGGGATACCCTTGAGACGCCAAAAATCGGTCGGCCTGGGGCGTAACAATCGTAGGTTTGTTGGCCAATTCCGTAGGGAATGTATTCGTTTAGAGCAAAATCCGATTAAACACCACAGTCCGAGCCACGTTGGCATCTACCATATCCCCGCGCCGCAAAGATCCACCTGCACCGGCATTATGGTCCGCCTCAGGGCGAAGTTCAAAGCGTGGTTTTTTTTTTGAAAAATAAATCATCTTTTTGATTAGTGGGTGCTTTTATTGACTGCTTAAGCATGACAATAGTACATATACAGCCTATCATTCCGTGGATGTCGAGGATTGCCGTATGAGCAAAAATTAGAAAAATGGGATACTCCCCTTGTCATCTGAACCAAAAGGACGATCATTACTTTATTCTGATTACATAAGGAAATAATTAGCGCTGGCGGCAACAGCAGATGTTGACAGTGCCAAAGATCGACGAAGCCAGAAGACCAAAAGCCCCAACGGCGGCAATGTAGAAGCTAGCACGCAGGCCACCTTTGTGCTCGGTGTCATATAAGTAGACGCGAAAGCTACCTGAAACAATACGCAAGAAAATCCGAGCAAGGGAAAAAAACCATGTCTTTTCGCAGCTTAAAAAGACCAAGAATGAGGTGTAACATTTTATGCCATGCAAAACGTTTTTCATGTTTTTAAAATGGCAGGTGTTTATTTATCATATAATATTTTGGACTAATTGTAAGCTCGGAAAAATATCTTCTTCATCAGGGCCAAGCGTACTCGCCCAAAAGACTTACCGTATCCGGAGACGAAAAGAAAAAAGTAGACAAGTGCACCGATAGCCAAAAGCGCGCTAACAAGCGTCAAAAGAACACTGATCAGCTGCCACTTTCGCATTCTTGTGCAGGCGCAAGTTGAGGCCATAACCGCCATGCAAGCCGAGGAAAGGCAACTCAACATCAATATACGAGTAACCAAGAGGAATGGGTCGTCGAGGCTCTTCTAAAAAAAATCAGCGTAAGAAACATGTTGGTTCTGCATCTAAGCAGCAGATCTGGCCTATCAAAAAAGAATCACCCAAAGTTGGGCGCGGGCCGGAAAAAAATTGTTTCTTTTTTTTTGAGAGCGCGTCAGACGGTGGAAATTTTGGGCGCCACGACCTTTCGGATCAGCAACAGTTCGGGTCAACGGTACTGTGGATAGATTTATCGGCCTAGGATAACTTATCACCTATTTGGAGGCATTCTACATGTGCTCACATCGTTAATGTTTGGATAAAAGTTGCCGATCTTCGTTTTTGCCGCAGATTTGAGAAAACTAGCGTTATTAATAGCTAAAATTAGAAAGAAATGGATATATTTCAAGTCTTCGCTGAGCTTTCGCCGGGCGTCCCCCTGTCATCCAACGGCTTTGCCAGGGCTTATAGGCACTTCTTACAACCTTTTTTTGGTCGGGACGCGGAAATTTGACCCACTTAGAGACCGTAACTTATGGCCAACACTCTGTCTAGCACTTCAGCTAACAAACTCACATAAACGCGAACGGCCACTTGGCAGGGGTAGTCTTCGAAGTCGCACGTGAATCCAAAAAGACTAAACGCGACTCGAGCATCATCTACGAACCACATGGGAAGGGCAATGGCGACGGCGACGATGATGGCTGCTAACACTGTCATTATCGGGCTAATGTAACCGCACCGTCTTGCTGGCATCACGATCACCCCCTTATAACCCATTTCAGAAAACGAAAAACAACCGACTGCGACTGGAAAATGGAGGATAGTCTAGTATCGTCTTCCAATTCCTTCTTTTAGTGCAACATCTGATGTGAGTAAAACCCGAATTTTGCTCATTTATGGAAATTTTCATTCCGGGGGTGAGGTTGGTTGACCGAAGTTCAATTTTCGGACCCCGGAGAGACCGACTTTTCATAGAAATTCAAATTTTGCACGGTCGAAACGGTCTTCTTCAGCATGCGCCTTGTTCATCTGGTTCTGGTCATCATTTGTTTGCAAGGTTTGTCCACAAAGTCCTTTCTAATTTTTTTTTCGTCCCGGTTTTTTGGGTCAACGACAGTTCGGGTCAACAATCCATCGATACGGGTCGTAGGGCAGGTGGACACCCGAAAAAAGGTTGTAGGATGTGCCTACGAGGCTTGGCAAAGCCGTTAGCTGGCCGGCGAGCGCTCGGCGAAGACTTGGCAAAGACTTGCAATATGTCCACTCTTTCTTATCTTAGCCATTACTAACATTATTTTTGTTTACCTTGTGTTACTGTAGTATATAAAAGACCAAAAAATTTTTTTAAAAACGATGACCTATATCTTTTATCTGGATATTGTTGATGAGAGTACATGTCAAACAACTCAAAATAGGTGGTAAGCTGTCCTAGGACCCAATCAATCCTATTATTTCTACTAACGAGGCCTTCCCATATCCTCTCCATGCACACAACGACGAACCGACACGGTCCATAGTATCGTTGACCCGAACTGTCGCTCTCCCGAAAAGTCTTAGCGCCAAAAATCTATATCTTCGTGAACCGTTTTGTATTGTTCATTACAAGAACAATTCCGATTATTTTCCAGCCGCAGTCGATTGTGAATGGTGTTATGTTTGCTCGGACAATGAAGGGCAGGTTCTGTTTTATGAGTTCTCAGGATGGGGAGGAGAGGAGTTCGGGAAATGCAGTAAAATCCGCTCCAATCCTCCTGTGTGGTGCCCATACGGATGCATGAGACAGGTTGTGGAAGCTGGAATTTTGGTGTTTGGTAGGTTGTTTACTATATATGTATATGTATATATAGTAAATAGTAAAGTATGTACCACGTGGATTGTTGCAATTGCGAATGAGTCATTTCAAATTTCAGGAAGGAAGATCGATACCGCCTCTTGCGCCGAGGAGGAGCTAAACTTGAAACGACCGACGTTCCTCGAGCGAATGAAGGTTAGTTCATTCAAACGTTGTAGAAAAAGTTCTTGCACCGTGCACTCACCTTTTTAATGAATATCGCCGTGACGTAAGCTTTTTTCCAACTGCGCCGTCGCGCTTTTGCTCAAAAAACGTGCACAGTGCAAACGGATTTTTTGAAGTTTGCACGGTGCGCAAAGACAAAAATCCGCAGTGCGTTGGCGACGAAAATTCAAGATGCACTGTGCGAAAGCGAAAAAATGTCCCGGCACTTTGTGAAAATGCTAATAGTATCATACTTTAAATACCTACCGTAGTTGAGTAGTTACTGGTGTATTAAAATGGGCAGGTCAAATTTTATGTTTTTGGCTTACTGTAGGCATACTGCACGTCAAACTGAGATAAGCTAAAACAGTCCGGTGAATGGAGTGGCAATTTGCCAAAAAAACGCGAAAAAACGTTTTGTCGGGGAAGAAATGGGGAATTTTTGGGGCGAGAGAGTACGTTTTTGCGCGACTTTTCTCTGTCTTCTCTGCGAAATCAAGACGAAGTGTAAAAAACGGATAGCAAAGGGTCTATTCCGGTCACCGGACTCCTCAGTTTGACGTGTACTGTAACATTTATAGATTTTTCGTTTCTCCTCGATTAGTAGCCCGATTGACTCCGGACCTTTTCAGGGTTATAGAATGATTGATTCTAAGCAACTTTCATATTGACACCTTTTTGCTAAGACTTCTGGAAGTGTGCGAAAAATATACCAGAATTTGTAGCCGGCGACGTTATTGTTGCATCTTGTAACCTTTACATTTTTAGGGAACGATCCGTGCAACTTGCGATGGGATAAATGTTGAGCATAAAAACGATTGGTTTGAATTGAACATGCAGGGAAAAAAGTGTCAATGTGTTGGCGACTACTGCAATGACCCCGACAAACCTTCTTAATTGCCTTCGCCAATAGTTTCACGAAGCCAATAAATGTTATTACCTTGTATTTTTGTCAATTTTTATTTTCGATTTTTCAATTTTGATTTTTATATTAAAGTTTCGGCAAAATACAGAAATGGGTAAAAGTTCCTCATAACTTTGCGGAAACTGGTCGGAATTAGCCCAAATTTAGCGTGCTCGCTCAATTCATCGTTGTCAATGCCCGGACAGTGGATTTAGTTAGGTACCTTCTTTTTTACGTACCACCTTACCCTTCAAAAAGAGGGGTTCGTGTACGCAAAAGCGGGTGGGTTTTTGGTGGTGTTTTTATTACGTAAAAGTTCCTTATTCTGGCCACAACTTTTAACTTTTCGGAAACTGAACAGCCCAAACTTGGCGTGCAGGCTCAATTCATCGTGGATTTAGTTTGCGAGGTACCTTCTTTTTTACGTACCACCTTACCCTTCAAAAACAGCTGCAGACTGTGATTTTACACTTTATACGATGAAACATGTCCGGAACTAAAACTTATTGCCTCCTTATGGAACTAAATGAGTCGTCACAGCCTTCGTAGGTACTAGTCGCGGAAAAAAGTCCTGGGATTTTTCTGCGACTCTGCACTGTGCATGAACCCAAAAAGTGCTTTTGCACAGTGCAATTTTTTTGATTTTGCCTTATTGTCGCGCGCGATTCCCGCGACAAATCAACTTTTCGGAGCGCGACGGAATTTGGGGGGCGCGAGAAAATCCCAGGACTTTTTTCCGCGACTAGTACCCTTAAAACTATAAAGCTATTATAGTAATTCAGTGCCAGCTAGGTCGAAGCGTTTTTCCTAACTTTAGTACCCAAGCTTGAGCGCAGTTCGCGGAGTGCCTTTGTTGTGGCCAAAATAAGGAACTTTTTCCCAGAAATGTTGGGAAACAACCGATTATTCGATTTCTTTCCGATTTTATTTACAAAAGCATGCAAATTTTATGCTAAAATCGAACCAAATTTGGTGGATTTGGATTTTACAATTAGTCTAGACCACTTTTTCCGTTTCGTCACTGGAGAATGGTTGGAGGTACTGTTCCTATGATTTTGTTTGTAGTTCTGTTCCTTGGTGAGTTCAACAATTACACTACTTCTTACAAAGAAAGTACTTTTAAGGGGGTTCCTAGTTTTAGACGGGACGTAATCTTAAAAAATACGTAAAATCATGCTGAAAGAATATGTCCAAAGCAGCAGCCCAGTCGCAGATTTTAGGGGTGAAAAATCGATTGCAAGGTGGCTTAAACTCGTACATAAACCCCTTTCCGCTCATTTTTTCACGGTTTTACAAATTTTATTTTAGCTTAAAATGATATGTCTTGAGTTTTTAAGGCATACTAAAAAGACCTTGGCACGAAAATTTATTCTCCAGCCCCTTGACTTCAAAAAATTTGATTCTGACAACAAGAGGAATCGAGCCCAACATCCTGGTTTCTAGACTTCCGCACTAGCCACTCGGCCACACCGCTCCCTTCTGGAGGAGGAGACCGACCACGCTATATATCGCTTGCAATGTTGCGGCTTTTCCAGGGTATTTTAGCCTGCTTTTGAGCTTGTTCGACCCTTAAACCCCAAATTGGGAAACTAATTTTTACAGATCTTTTAAAAGTGCTTTCTTTGTGAGTTTATATAGTTGCCTTACCATCATTTTATTTTCCATATTTTAGTGAACGGAGCCTCGTGCGTTAAGTGCTACGTGTGTAGCAGCGACACTTGCAAAAAGGATACATGGATTCAGATTGATTGCAGTATTGGATGCGTGAAGCTTGAGGGGTTCGTGTACGCAAAAGCGGGTGGGTTTTTGGTAGTGTTTTTATTACGTAAAAGTTCCTTATTCTGGCCACAACTTTTAACTTTTCGGAAACTGAACAGCCCAAACTTGGCGTGCAGGCTCAATTCATCGTGGATTTAGTTTGCGAGGTACCTTCTTTTTTACGTACCACCTTACCCTTCAAAAACAGCTGCAGCCTGTGATTTTACACTTTATACGATGAGACCTGCCCGGAACTAAGCTTATTGCCTCCGTATAAAACTAAATGAGTCGTCATAATTCATAGGTACCCTTAAAGCTATAGAGCTATTATAGTAAAGATTTGTTGTGGCCAGAAAAAGGAACTTTTTCCTTTTATTAAAGACGTGAGCTGGGAGCGTCACCAGAGATAGCTATGGTCAAAATTTTGGCTCCGGCTCCGGCTCCGGCTGTCAGCTCCCAGAGCCGGAGCCGAAGCCAAATTTGCAGCTCCGGCTCCCGGCTCCGATGAAAAATTTAAAAAGGTCTTCGGCTCCGAATCAAGGCTCCCGTGCAAAAAAATTCTTTTAAAATATTTTTCAAAAAATAAACGTTATTAGTGCCAGAGATCATACACTTGCAGCCAAGTCGTATGCACACATCCTTCCCAGTATTTTTCAAGCAATTTGGTTTAACAAGATCATGAAATTTTTACTTTTCTCAACACTGAGATGCCTGGCTCCGACTTTGGGCTCCGGAGCCGTGATAATCTCTGGTGGTCAACTGGTTGTTTTCGCTTTATGTCCTACCTTCTGTGTAAGAATTTAGTTTACTTTTTGTTTCAGAACCGGATTACTATATGCGAGGCTGTCTACGATCTCCCCTGGACAAGTGCGAAATTAAAAGAGAGTTTTTTACAACTCGAAGGATGGCCCGGACATTTCGAAAAAACGACCGACCCAGGATCTTTTGGTATTTTGCATGGTTGTTGTACTATGATAGCTGAACGTCAGCACGAATTTTTAGTTTCAGAAATTACCGTATACGGGGGTTACGGTAGGTACAATTTTTAGAAAGATTGGGTTCGTATGTAAAAACCACGAAGAGTAAAGGGGCGAAACTTTGCTGGTTTACGTTTTCGACCCTGGGGAACATTTCCATAATTGACAACTTTGCCGTAGGATGTTGCCTTCGACTACTTTGAAAAATACCAAGGTACCATATTGAATGTAACTTTTTTGCAGAGAACTTGTCTCAACTTTTGAAACCTCTTAAAAACACTTTGACATGTATGTAACAACGTATCAAAAATGCGCGAAAATAAAAGGGGGGGGCGGGTTTGGAGTTACGGTACTTTGAACGTTGGACATACAGTACACCTTGATTTATTCTCGGCTTAACTTTACGTAGATTATTTTAAAAACAAAATATAATGTTTTATCTATGTTGTACGACCCTCACAAACTATTTTCACAAAGCAAGATCAGCGATTTCTTAATTTTTTTGTAACAATTGCCACGGTTTAGAGACGTGTGTGCCATACGACCGTGGAATCTATCAAAATCGGATGTCAGCATCACAGAAAAAGTTCGGTGTACTGTATGTCCAACGTTCAAAGTGCCATAACTCCAAACCCCCCCCTTTTATTTTCGCGCATTTTTGATACGTTGTTACATACATGCCAAAGTGTTTTTAAGAGGTTTCAAAAGTTGAGACAAGTTCTCTGCAAAAAAGTTACATTCAATATGGTACCTTGGTATTTTTCAAAGTAGTCGAAGGCAACATCCTACGGCAAAGTTGTCAATTATGAAAATGTTCCCCAGGGTCGGAAACGTAAACCTGCAAAGTTTCGCCCCTTTACTCTTCGTGGTTTTTACATACGAACCCAATCTTTCTAAAAATTGTACCTACCGTAACCCCCGTATACGGTAATTTCTGAAACTAAAAATTCGTGCTGACGTTCAGCTATCATAGTACAACAACTATGCAAAATATCAAGAGATTCTGAGTCGGTCGTTTTTTCGAAATGTCCGGCCCTTGTTATGAGAAGCTTCAATCTGTAAAAAACTCTCTTTTAAAGGCGTTGTAAAAAACCAAGACGAAGTGGTCAAATATGCCTTTTTGGTCGACACTGCATTCATCGTAAGTCTCTTCATGGAATAACGTTGGCTTATCTACAAAACGCGTTACTTTTTAGGTTACAATTTTTACTTGTGGCTGCGAGACCGACCTTTGCAATGACCATCATCCGATTACCCCGCCGCCGGTGCTTCTCGTGCTTTTGTCCATGGTTCGTTATTACCACTATTTTTGAGGCACGTTTGAATAATAAATGTCCTATTAGAACTGTCAACGTCTGTTTTTTCTTCGGGAATGTGAAAAGTCTTGAACTTACAGGGGAAGTACCCCAAGTGCGACGTTCAGATTTTGATGACACTTGACACAAATTTTGGATGATTTTTTCCTTAGAATATATGCGAATATCCGAGCTCGCGCTTTGGAGAAACCATCGAGATTTTTAGATAAAAGTCGGCGAAAATGTAAGACTTTTTATCGAATTTCGGCACTAAAAGTTTCATACCTAATATTTCTACACCAAGCGTAATGTTTCTACAAAAAAATCAAATCTTTCCGCACGATACGAGCTACGTTATGGCAAAAAGTGTTTTTCTCCGCGTTTAGCGTACTCTCTCGGCGGCAAAGATCGCTCAATCGCTCGGCGACGTTTGCAAAGCGCGAGCTAAGACTTTCAGGAATTGATATTCAGTCTGTGCCCGACGTGTGTGCAAAGTTTAAAGAAAATCTGAGCGTCGCACTTGGGGCACTTACCTTGTTAGAATTTCCGGACCCAATCAAACATCCCAATCTTCTCAAAAATTTAGTGTAAAATCGGCATGAAAATTGAATTTTTGCTCGTTTGGGGGTCATTTTTATTCCGGGGTGAGGTTGTGTGGCCGCTCTCTCAGAGTTCTGAAAATTCGAAATTCCCATGATTCCAAATTTCGATTATGCAAATTTCAAAAAAAAAAGTTCAAAATCTTGGGAAATTTGGATTTTTTATACAGATTTTGCACTAAATGTATGAGAGATTGGGGTTGTCAAATTAGTCCTTGATTCAGTCGGTTGATTCTCGTTGGGCTTGCAAGCTTTGCTTTGATCAGAATGCGCTTCATCCTCTACTTGGCACTCGTCTTCTCTTTGGGTAAGTCGGGGGAACAATCTTTCATGAAACTTCCGTTCCTGGAGCTAAATCATCTCTCTAAAGCTTGAGTGAACTTTATCGGCTGCAGCTCGCAAAAAGTCTTCAATTTTTATTTTGCTTAAACAAACTAGTGATTTTACTCTCGTTGTATCGCTAGTCACGCCCGAGATGGTTCACTTGTTAGTCAATCTGTATCTTTCCAGCCGTTTCAATCAGTTCCTTTAACGTGAAGTGCAAAGGTTGCTGGGGTACAGACACCAAGGTCGGGAGCACTCATGAAGAGACCGTTTCCTTCGGACACCAATCCGCTATTAATTCGCTTACCGCTCTACTTGCGTTCTTTATGATTGTTTAGCATATTTATTCTTGGGCTGTATAAACTTTCCAAAATAGACCTTTATATGTATGAAACCTTTCACTTTTGAATCTTTTCTGTGGGATCTGACAAGGGAAGTACCCCAAGTGCGGTGCTCAGATTTTCTTTAAATTTTGCACACACGTCGGGCATGGACTAAATATCAATTTGTGAAAGTTTTAGCTCGCGCTTTGCCGGCGCAGCCGAGATATTCAACGATCTTTGCGGCTGCGAGAGTATACAAAACGCGGAGAGCGGTCAGAGAAAAATACTTTTTGGTCATAAATTTGCCAGTTTTGTGCGGAAAAAATTCGGAAATGCGTACAACTCAATTACTACCCCACAAAAAATCTGTAATTTTATTTTTCCTTCTAGCCGATACTATGTTCAAAAAATGGATGATTATATTATACATGGTGCGTGGGATCAATCAAGCGCTCGATCTTTTCCCTTGCTTGTACTGGTCATATCGCTCGATGATCCGGTTGATCAAGTCGGTCGTTGAGACACCGGGATACCTCTGAGTCTCCAAGAATCGGTCGGCCGCCTTGAATGGGGCGTAACAATCGGAAGTTTGTTGGCCAATTCCGTAGGGAATGCAGTCGTGAGCCATTAGGTCTACCTTGAGAAGTTGTTTGAGATTAGCTGACAGGGAGAGTGTCAGTTTGTCGGGAAAATAATGAGCACATTGTCGCAGCAAAAAAATCGTATCGCCGCTGAGAAAATGAATTGTGTCGCGGCAAAATCAAATTTTTTTACTTCAGCGACGCGATCGGCGCAGCGACATTGTGCTCATTATTTTCCCGACAGATAGATATAAAGTAGTGTATATATAAGTCTGTCTGGAAAATAATGTGGATTTTTCGCCGCAAAATGTCTATCCTAGTTGCAGAAATCTGCAGCTTCGGCGAGCCCTCGCAAAGCGATGACAGACCATGCCAATGCGCGGCAAATCCATATTATTTTCCCGACAGACTGACACTGTACATTTGATGACAAAAAAGTGTCCGTCTTACCCTCAATTCTCTCATAATCTCAAAGCTGCTCGAATACGGGAAGCCCTTGTAAACCTCGTCGACGTATCGGCAATTCATCACGGTCAGCACTCGCTCCTCTTCGGTGAAGACGGTCTGACGCTTGTTGTTGCGGGTGTCTTCGTCGCGGCAAACTGAAAAACAACGTATTCAATGCTCCCGACAGACGAACTGCTGTCATTCTCAACTCTCGAAAGCCTCACCTCCCACAATCAAGTACGAATTCGGGATCAACTGTTTGATCTGGCTGAACTGATTGGCATGGCCCCAATGGAAGAAATCGTAGATTCCATCGGCCAGAATCCGAACCACTGGACCGGATACTGAAAAAATTCAATGAGAATAAAAACCTCATTTCCGAATAGGGTCTATAGTATCGTTGACCCGAACTGTCGCTCAGCCGAAAAGTCCTAGCGCCGTTATTTTCGCTTACAGTCGTGTCCCTTTTCGTAGATTTCGCTCAACGTTCTGGGCTCCCAATCATCGCCGCAGGCTCTGATTCGGCGTCTCGCCTCCTCGCTGGAGCTGAGGATGCAATTCCCCAGCTTCAGCTCCGAATCCCATCCGCGGCTCTTTCTCTTGGCTTCGGCAATGTCATCGTGGTCGAGAACGTTCGTTTTGTTAGGGGACATTTCTTAAAATATCATTTTTTATATTGAAAAATTTAAAATTAATTTTTTGGCTAAAATACGCGAAATAAGCGACAAAGTGTTACCACAAGTAAAACCATTGGATTTTGATGGGCATTGGGCCAGATTAAGACCGGAATTTTTGAATTCGTAAAAAAGATATTCAGCTTTTTACCGGCCCGGAAAAATTAACTCACTATCTATCGACCTGTCGGGAAAATAATGAGCACAATGTCGCAATCGCATCGCCGCACGTCAGAATGAAAATAGAAGAAAAACGAAATTTCGTGAGGGGCCGCAGCGAAAAGCAACGGCCGATTTTTTCTTCTTTCTCTGACCGCTCTCTTCCTTTTTGTGCGTGCGCCCTCTTCCTCTCGCCAATCGCAAATCGTTATTTCGCGGATCGCCACGGCTTTGACGAAATTCCCTTTTTATTTTGACGTGCGCCGCCGCACGTCGTTTTTTTCTGCTAATTATGGTTTGTCCCACCACGACTAAATTTATCAGTGCCAAAAAGTTTTGGCGTTGTGCAAAAATCGGAAAATTCACTTTTTATTTTCCGCAGAAACTAAAATCGACCAGTGCTAATCGGAGAGCAAAGAAAACATTTCGAAAATTAGTGGTATAGGAACGTAAGTCGCTATTTTCACTTTTTGTTTGATTTTTAGGAATCCATTGAAATCGGATGTCTAGTATAACATGAAGTTGAATTTTCTCGAAAAGTAGCTCTGAAACCTGGTCTGATTTTTTGTGTTCAGCTTCGTCATATCTTCATGCAGCTCATGAGCTATCGGGAACCCCAAGATTGGGATCGAGGGTCAAGTTACCGGTCAATCTTTTGTTATTATAGGTCAACTTTAGCGTGAAATTCTGAGCTCAAGAAACGATTTTACAATACAGATTTAGCGCAAGTGGCAGCCGCAACACGTCAAATTTGCGTAAACACAATTATTTCGATATATCGATCAACCGTGTTGGCGTAAAACCGGTCGTGGTAAATCAAAGTTTGTGGCGTTTCGTTCCGATTTTTTCACTCAATAATGGAGCCGTCAAGCTAAAAAATCACTTTTCAATTACGCGCCAACGATGTGCGCCGAGAAGAGGAATTGTGTTTTGCCAAAATCAAGTTGATTTTCGCTTCAGCGAATCGATCGGCGCTGCGGCATTGTGCTCATTATTTTCCCGACAGACATATATCATAAAACGCTTTGAAAAAATCCTTTTTCCCTCAAAATTTCGAAAGCAACGCATAAACTGATCTGCCAGGCCGTTTGCGGATTCGTCTGCCAGTTTTATACCCCACCGTATTCGACAGTAAACATGTCCGGACACGCCTGCAAATTCGTTGTTTCCGACGAAAAGGGCGACAAATTTAGATAAGAGTCCGTGGGCGTCGCAACTGTGTAAATGTCGAAAGGCCCGACAACACAGTAACAAGACGAGAGTTCAAGAATCGAGTGATTTATAAAGTGCAAATGAGGTCTTTTATTGACTGTACTTTTATACGTGAAGCCGCACGTAGAAAAGTGCAATCAAATTCGAATGATTGAAAACGGTTTCTCGCGGGAAAATCCTCGAAGCTCGGTCGTTCCGCCTCACGTTTCCGTCAAGTGATCAAGTCGGGCACGGCACTTCCACACCCATCGAACGAGCATGCCTGCTTTCCTGGGCTCTGGCTTGAGATCCTGGACTGGAGGCACTGGGTTCAATCGAGGCTCTGAGTTTCCAACGGGCACATTCCTTCCACTGACGCATCGGGTTCGATATTCCGATTTTTTCTCCTCGAAGAGCGGTCGGTTTTTCCTGTCCACCCATGCCGTCGCAGGCACAAAGGCTTTGAGGCTTTGCCTGTGGCAGTAGCCATCCATCGTATTGAAGTTCGAGTTCGTACAGTCAAAGTTGATCAATTCGAAGCAAGGGGAAGTCGGAAAAAGGAAACGGTGGATCTAATCTCGGAATATGTACTGATAAGAAACGGTAAAGAAAAAAGGGATACCTCCTACACACGCCCCAGGATAAGAAGGACCAAAGCACTATAGGATGTTGCATTGACTGGACAATAGAAACCGTACTGATTCACTCCATGATTTTTACATGTGATTAGTTGAATAAATTGAATTTAATTGCATCGTTCTCCATTCTGGTATCTTCTTGTCAATGGTTTATACCTTATCGAATGATGCCTAGGCCTAAAGGATGCAACTGGCTTACGCCGAGAAGCAAAAATTTATGATTTCAGCTTCTAGCTCTTCTTGTAATTTGTCTGTCCCGACTTTAGGCTTTCTCCGCGATTCCTTAGAGCTTGCTAAACTCTTTGAATCCGCTTACATTGCAGTGGATTTGGCATGGTCCTTACCTCGTCACTTCCCTTGGCCTCTACTCCCTCCCCTATTTTCAATAACCTGGGGAAAATATTGAAACTTTAAATCTCCAGGGTAGGTCTCACTGACATCTTCCGGGTCCTGGATGAGACGCCAATATTGGCTACATTCTGTGACAACTCTTTTCCAACGGACTTCCCGAGCTTTGTCACTAGCTTTGTGCAGGCCTCTGCCTTTGAACTCATTTTCCCGAGTTTCCCTAGTAGCGGTCTCCTCCACAGACCCTGCCAATAAGAAGTTGGCATAATTTCCCATGTCTAAGTTGAGATCTTTCATAAGATCCCTTCACAACGTCGGTTGGAAATCGTGACGTCTCATGACAATGATTTCACTGATATTTCTGATGACCCCGGAAACTTGCCGTACAGCACCAACAACTTCTAATGGACTTGCGCCATATTCCAGGAGCATCCCGAAATACCCCGACAGCTGTGTCATCAGTATCCGTATTTGAACCTTTTTTCCTATATGTAGTTTGATTGTCCGGCGTGGACAGACAAAGGGCAACGCTATATTTTTGGAACCGTAAAGTAAACACTTCCTGATCGCTCAAAATTTTAGCTTCCGTTTCTCCGTGGCAGTCGGGATATTGAACGATCTTTGCGGCCGGGAGAGTACGCGAAAAGCGGAGAGTGGTCAGAGGGAAAAACACTTTTTAGCCATAGCTCTGCCAGTATAGCGCGGTAAATTTTTATTTTGTGGAAAGATCATCCTTTACGGTAGAAATAGATGGTAAACTTTTCGTGCCGAAATTTGGTAAAAAGTCTCAAATTTTTGCCAAATTTCGAGCAAAAAATCTCGGTCATTTGTGCATAGCGCGAGCTGGGAGTTTCCTATATACCATAAAAACGATTATTGTAAATTTTCGCCCAGTTTCATTGAAATCTGAGCGTCGCACTTGGAGCACCTCGCCGGTCGGAAACTTCCGGTTACTCCTTGATTTATCGTCACAATCTTGTTTCCCTCTACTAAAAAACTAACCTCCCACGTCAAAAAAAATGCAGCATAGTAGTGCGTTCGGTCGTACCATAGACAAGCCCCGATGTAAACAAGCCGAAAAGTTTGATGGGTCCAAAGTTTTCAAGGTTATAATAACAAAAACAAAGAAAGTCAGTAAAAAAAGGGAGAACAAAATAGCAGCCATAGTAAGGACAGTCAAGTCTTTAGCAAAATAAAAATAGTTTTAAACCTTTGTAAAATAAAGCAACTTTTGCTGTTATAAATTATCAGTCTGTCGGGGAAATAATGTGGATTTTTCGTGGCTTGAACTAGCTTATCAACAGCTTTGCTACGGCTAGCCGTGGCTCATCCGTTGCGCGTCTGCGATGAGCAGAGACGTTTTGTTGGCCTGGGAGCGGGGGCTCATATTTAAGCCATCGTATGCCTCAAAGAAAACTACCGTACACCACGTTGAACATTTCACGTTAAGCAAGGCCTCATGTAAAAAATTTCCGCGCGAAAATGACCTTGGTCCCGCTTACTGCTTTTTTTTCTTCGACCCCGGCCTGGGAGGGGGCTGGATAGTCCTCTGTAGCGGCTACAAAGGCCGTATGAGACCATCCTAAACACAAACTAAAAGCTGAGACTAAGCCTGGGCTGGGACTAAGTCGAGGCCGAACAAATTGTTAGCCTAAAGAGGCTCATAAGGTAAATACCCCAAGTGCGACGCTCAGATTTTGATAAAACTTGGTACAAACTTAGAATAATCTTTTTTATGAGATATGCAAGACTCCTAGCTCGCGCTATACAGAAACGACCGGGATTTTTTGGTCGACACTTGTTAAAACGCGTTTTGCCACACTTTGGGGCTTAGCCTAACAGGGGGCGGACATTGTTAAAATCGGTGTCTCAGAATTTAACGAAACTTGGTCAATCTAATCAACACTAGACATAGAACATTCGCTTTCTTTGTTTTTGCCCAAAATTACCGTATGACGGATTACTGTAACTTTCTTCCCCAAAAAAGATGTGCCCTGATCGAGAAAACGAAGCTCAGTTTTAGTGCAAACCGAGTTTAGGTGTATGTTTTCGACGATGTAGAACATTTTTGTAATTATCACCAAAAACTAAAAATTACATCTAAGCTATGTTACACTTGAGGCAACATACCATTTCGGGTGTAAAAAATACAGTTTTGAGGTGACGCAGATTTTGAAACCGGAATATTAAACTTCAAGCCTTGTCTAATAAACCATAAAAATTTCAGAAAAATCAAATGTATAGTTTTTGAGAAATTGGACATTGAATGACTCATGTGCAATATCACCTTGACCCGAAAAAACTGGCATTCTTGGGGTTTTGACCTGACGCAGATTTTGAAAGTTTCCAGTACATTCTTAGCACATTTTAGGAGGATTTGGAAAGTTTCAGAGGAAAAAAATGTATAGTTTTTGAGAAACCGGCCAAAATACCTTGTTTTAGGTCATCAGATGCCCGAAAAACTCTCAAAAACTATGCATTTTTTCGTCTGAAACTTGCTGTATCCTCCTAAAATGTGATAAGAATGCATTGGAAACTTTCAAAATCTGCGTCAGGTCAAAACCCCAAGAATGCCAGTTTTTTTCGGGCATCTGATGACCTAAAACAAGGTATTTTGGCCGGTTTCTCAAAAACTATACATTTTTTCTCTGAAACTTTCCATATCCTCCTAAAATGTGCTAAGAATGTATTGGAAACTTTCAAAATCTGCGTCAGGTCAAAACCCCAAGAATGCCAGTTTTTTTCGGGCATCTGATGACCTAAAACAAGGTATTTTGGCCGATTTCTCAAAAACTATACATTTTTTTCCTCTGAAACTTTCCAAATCCTCCTAAAATGTGCTAAGAATGTATTGGAAACTTTCAAAATCTGCGTCAGGTCAAAACCCCAAGAATGCCAGTTTTTTTCGGGCATCTGATGACCTAAAACAAGGTATTTTGGCCGATTTCTCAAAAACTATACATTTTTTTCCTCTGAAACTTTCCAAATCCTCCTAAAATGTGATAAAAATGTATTGGAAACTTTCAAAATCTGCGTCAGGTCAAAACCCCAAGAATGCCAGTTTTTTTCGGGCATCTGATGACCTAAAACAAGGTATTTTGGCCGATTTCTCAAAAACTATACATTTTCTTCCTCTGAAACTTTCCAAATCCTCCTAAAATGTGATAAAAATGTATTGGAAACTTTCAAAATCTGCGTCAGGTCAAAACCCCAAGAATGCCAGTTTTTTTCGGGCATCTGATGACCTAAAACAAGGTATTTTGGCCGATTTCTCAAAAACTATACATTTTTTCCTCTGAAACTTTCCAAATCCTCCTAAAATGTGATAAAAATGTATTGGAAACTTTCAAAATCTGCGTCAGGTCAAAACCCCAAGAATGCCAGTTTTTTTCGGGCATCTGATGACCTAAAACAAGGTATTTTGGCCGATTTCTCAAAAACTATACATTTTCTTCCTCTGAAACTTTCCAAATCCTCCTAAAATGTGATAAAAATGTATTGGAAACTTTCAAAATCTGCGTCAGGTCAAAACCCCAAGAATGCCAGTTTTTTTCGGGCATCTGATGACCTAAAACAAGGTATTTTGGCCGATTTCTCAAAAACTATACATTTTTTTCCTCTGAAACTTTCCAAATCCTCCTAAAATGTGATAAAAATGTATTGGAAACTTTCAAAATCTGCGTCAGGTCAAAACCCCAAGAATGCCAGTTTTTTTCGGGCATCTGATGACCTAAAACAAGGTATTTTGGCCGATTTCTCAAAAACTATACATTTTCTTCCTCTGAAACTTTCCAAATCCTCCTAAAATGTGATAAAAATGTATTGGAAACTTTCAAAATCTGCGTCAGGTCAAAACCCCAAGAATGCCAGTTTTTTTCGGGCATCTGATGACCTAAAACAAGGTATTTTGGCCGGTTTCTCAAAAACTATACATTTTTTTCCTCTGAAACTTTCCATATCCTCCTAAAATGTGCTGAGAATGTATTGGAAACTTTCAAAATCTGCGTCAGGTCAAAACCCCAAGAATGCCAGTTTTTTTCGGGCATCTGATGACCTAAAACAAGTTATTTTGGCCGGTTTCTCAAAAACTATACATTTTTTTCCTCTGAAACTTTCCAAATCCTCCTAAAATGTGCTAAGAATGTACTGGAAACTTTCAAAATCTGCGTCAGGTCAAAACCCCAAGAATGCCAGTTTTTTTCGGGTCAAGGTGATATTGCACATGAGTCATTCAATGTCCAATTTCTCAAAAACTATACATTTGATTTTTCTGAAATTTTTATGGTTTATTAGACAAGGCTTGAAGTTTAATATTCCGGTTTCAAAATCTGCGTCACCTCAAAACTGCATTTTTTACACCCGAAATGGTATGTTGCCTCAAGTGTAACATAGCTTAGATGTAATTTTTAGTTTTTGGTGATAATTACAAAAATGTTCAACATGGTCGAAAACATACACCCAAACTCAATTTGCACTAAAATACAGCTTCGTTTTCACGATTAGGGCAC